ATTAGATGTGTATATACGGTTTCATGCTGACTCAGAGCTCAAAGATAGCCACTATTTTTTTCTTGTTGAGCATCCCTGCATAGAGCGAGTGAGCTATTTTTACCTGAACCTGAACCTTTCTAGCATTATTTCTGATAGGAAAAAATAAACCCTGTGCACTTCAAGTCAAAGTTGGAGGTGCCTGTGATCCTCTCAAGCTTCCAGTAACTGAGGAAAGGCAGCCTCTGCATGTGCCTCTCTGCCAGTGCCTCTCTTCCTTCTTGGTCCATCCGTGTGGATGACCCGCTGACAGGAGAAGCCGCTCTCTGAGGTACAAAGGGTTGATCTGTCCACGTAAGGAAGGAGCAAGTGAGACAGAGGCAACAGTGTCTTTGGAGTCAAGGGGTGGAAAGCTGATGGGTCAGAGCTGTTTCAGGGAACAGTTATAGAGTCAAGCTGGTAAATTTTTGTTTGGAGGGAAAGAAGAGAAGAATAAGAGCAATGAAGTCTAGTTCCAGTAGGCAGGAGTTTTTGTGACTGTTAAATATAACGTCTATGGTTTCTCCCTCTCCCCTCATCTCCTTTGCTCCTGCTGTCTGGGGGTTTACTTTTCCACTGGGTGCACAAATGGCTTGTGAGGGGAAAGCGTGGGCTGAATAGCAGCTCCCTGGCCATAATCCTTGAAAGATGACTGAAGCTACAGTACATGAAGTAGAGGCTGGGGAGGATGCTTTCCTTCTCTGGTGGGTGTTATGGGTGGGAAGTGTAAGGTTTCTATTTTTTTTTTTTTTATGCTGCACATTTTTGTAATTCCAGCCATGCACAGAAAAAGCTGGTCAGTGCTGGCTGTGAAGGTGCTTGTGCACCTGTACAGGGTGGGACAGGCATTCAGAGGCAGAAATAGACACCAAGCCATCCTGTTTGGGCAATTATACTCTTCCTGCATTCTCACCGCAGTTGGCATTTCAGCGGCTAAGCCACAAAGGGAGGTATAAAGACAAATGGGATCGCCTTTTGAAAATACCTGTACTTAAAAGAACCTCCCTCCTGGGATGGCATTCATTATGTGTCTGTTTATTCATCCTTTGCTCACATGGTAATTTGCTCCTGCAGAAATGTATCTCAGCTCCACCCAGTGCTGGGACCAAGCCACTTCTGCTGGCACTGTTGGAGATCATTTACCAAGAGAAATTAGCTGTACAGCATACAGAATGGCGACTGACATAGCTATACCTGCCCACAGCTGCTCTGAATGCAATCACTACCTTTCAGTAGCTCATCCCAAATCCCAGTGGATTTCTAACTCTGCCCTAGCTTGCACTGTACATCTTCTCAAGAGTTGGTAATATTCTGAGATGGCTTTAAGTGTAAATGGGAAGAGGAGCTGTTGATTTGGAAGAGGCAAATGAAATGCCAGCCTCTGTCACGGCGCTCTCATAATATAAAAGATTTGTGGCAGTGGGTTGAGCCGGAGCTGCAGCTGCTGTGGTGTCACTTGGATATTAATTGAGGAGTGGGTGAATGCAAGGAGCAGAAAATGCTGTGGAAGAGGGGAGAGGAGCCAGATAGGAAGAGGCTGGCACAAGTGCCACGCTCCTTTACTGGAATGCATCCCTCTGCGTTATGCCGTCGCCATCTTTCTCTGCAAATTAATCATGCTTCCACTGTCCCTCTCTCCAACTGAATGTAGTGGCAGTTTTCTGTCTTCTGCCTTCATGGTGTTTAGTTGTTGCAGAACCTCAGCTTCTAGTCTAGAGTAACTCAGGTCTCCACCCCACCTGGTAACGTGCCCTAGATTCATTCAATTCTATTCTGCCAACCTAGTCGGTTTTTCAGGAGTCTCGTCTGTCATTTGCAGGAGTAATTGCAAAAATTGATTGATGGGAAATGCCTGTAACAGGCAGATCCTTTTGACAGACCACACAGCCATAATATTCTGCATTTATTTGAGTCAATCAATGCTCTGATGCATATTTGGGTCATAAATACTCTGATATAAATTGCATTTATTATTATGACAGCTGTGTTCCATTACCTATTATTTATTAGGTTCTGTTGTCCTTTCGTTTTACACCTTGTGGAGCTGTCAAGTCAGCTGCTTACCAGTGACAAAGCTCACAGCTCAGTTCAGAATCTTCCAAAAATAAATTCTCTGAAGGGATTTGAGTAACAGCAGGATGTATGTTGTTGGAAAGGCATTGGACGATCTTTTTTTTGGTTTGTTCTATTGGAAAGAGGAGGTTTGTGCTTTTTGCCTGCTTTTGCCCGAATTCCAGAATTAGACTTTGCATTTATGATCCAGAGATCATTGAAGCTGATAAATCCCACTGATTAATGTGAATTTTGGATCACAACCTCCATGTCTCAATGTTGAATTAATCAGGTTATTTGATATTTGAAATGGTGGGATGCTGACTTCGATATTTCTAATTTTCCCTTGGAAGCTTTTTTAGCTTCATGTCTTTTTACTTTGTAAAAATGGCAGAATATCTGATTCTGAGCTGAATGAATTTCAGTGTCCTTCCAAGGGAAAGGTCAGATTGCAATGGGCACACTGCTCTGTACGAGTCAGAGTAATTTTCAGCTTCTCATTCCCAATAAACAGTCATATATCCTTTGTGCCAGGTTGCTGCACCAGCTTTGCAAGGTGCCGAGCTCTTTGGTGTTAATTCAGGCAAGCACTTAATCATGGAATTGATGACTCTAAAGTGCTTAATATAAGCATGTGCTTAAGTGCCTTGTTGGACTGGGGCCAGCGCAGATGTACTCTTGCAGGGCAGAGATTTGTAAGCCACTTCTGGTCTACTAGAGCCAAGTTCGCTGGAGATGAAGGGTTTCAGGGTTGCGCAGCCCAGGGAGCTGGACTGTGCTGCAGGGTTGGGTGAGCATGACAAAATGCCCCTCCGTGGGATAGAGAGTATTTACCCAGGAAGGCCCTGTCCTGCGACTAAGCAGGGAACCAGCGTCTCCAGAACGGTGGGGCTCTTGGGCTACACCGAGCATGGTGTGCACCAACTGAGCAGGAGGTGGGAGCCTGTGTGAGTGGAGACCTGTGCCAGAGACACGCAGCAGCCCTGTCTGGCAAAGCTGGGCTGTGCACCAGGAGTGGGCCACAGGGAAGGGGCAGCAGCGCTGCTTCGTATTCCTAAAAGGTATCAGCCCCACAGACTCACACGAGGACTGAGTTGCCTGGGAATAGAGTGCTAAGCTGGCTTTCAGACTAGCTGTGTAGTTTCTCTGTAAAACACAGGAGATGAAAACACTGCATAAGTGCTCATAGTTGTATTCAACAGGTTTTGTTTGCACAAGGATTTTGGGGTAGGTGCAGGGAGCGAGCGTTCTGTCTTATCAATAGGGTTTATGTGCTAGCTTAACAGCAACACTGTTCATAGCATTACTATTGAAATATGTGTGATACGATGTTGCATGTGCTTCTTTTCATGTCTTAACATTTCTGTATTATCTCTGTTTATTTTACTCTAAATGTAAAAAGAGTAAATCTGTAATTCCTATCAAATATCGCAGTGCAAAGCTGATACACACACGATCATATGGCTCACAAAATATAGATGCAAATGGATATGTATTATTTATAAAGCAGCTTTGACATCTTAATATATTAAAAAAGAAGAGACATTTAGATCATTTCATGGTTCAGCATTCTGCACGTTTTTGACCTGTTGTATATCATCAGCCATTGAAATTCATAATTTGGATCTTAATCACTTCAATTTTATGCATGCATTCCATCCAAAGGGGTGTGTGTCCTCTGCTCTTGCCTTTTTTTTTTTTCCTATTCTATCCCCCTCCCCCTCCTTTTATACAATTAAAAGTAGACAGTTGGGGTTAGACAATGGCAAAAGCCCACGCTGCCTTCCAGGAACTGCCCAATAATTAATGAGAGTCATAACTCTGTGACTAAAGAAGGATCTCCAGGTATTCCAGTATCCCACCCAAATCCTCCCAGGTTTGCTGAACCCAGACAGTCAGTGAAAGTCAAAAAGTTCATACTACATGGCAGTAAAATCGATGTAGTTGCTCTTACCCAAATCTCTAATGTGGACAGACAAAAGCCAGGTATAAATCAGCTTAGAATCTGGCAATTTCTGTCAAGTTCCAAATTACTGTGAATATGGTGCGAGTGCCTCATTTCAGGTGTTTTCATTGATGTCACTGGACAGATTGTTTTGAGCTGGGCTGGAGGAGTGAATTCTGAAGTTGAGGAGATTTTGCAGAGGTTATTCTATCAAGAGCCTCATTCCTACATGCCAGAAAGTCGTGGGTTAATGCTTCGGGTTTTTTTGGGGGGGAAGGCAAGGGGAAAGGTGAACTTGTAATCTTTCAGATGAGGATATTCCTGGCCTCATGGGGCTTTGTAGGTTAAAACTCTTTCTTTTACTGAAATTGTTTCTCAGCGATGGGTTTAAATACAAGTTCAGTGCTGGTGAAAGGATCTAATGAGATGGGAGCTTTCTGTCTAACTACAGGGTTGGTGCCAGTAGTATGATAGTAGTGTTAACTGTTTGTCCTCACTGTTTCATGGTTGCCTTAACCTACTGCTAGGAAGGATGAAAGAACTTCAGTTTCTGTGGACTATTTCTCTCTGGTCTCTGCTGCAAGAGCCAACAAGGAGCCCTTGGCTTGCTTTCTGTTTGCCTGTAACTCCTTCCAACCTTCACTTCATTTTCTCAGTGACATTTAGGCAGAAGCTCCTAATTTATTCTGTCCTGGTTTTGCCCATTCCTGGATGCTGAGCTCTCAGTGGACTGTGAGGGGCTGGTGCTTTCAAATGTAATACGACTTCACTGGTCTGAAGTTTCTCTGGGAATGAAAAATCTGTTTGATTAAGGAAACACTGACTTCTGAAAGCCTATAAGAATGCACAACGTTGTAAGTCAAGGCTGCAGAATGTCTAATTAAATGGAATTGTTCTCCAGAGGAATTGGCTTGCAGAAAATTAGTTTTCATGTTCTTAGCCTGATGTTTATTAAATGTTTCTTTCCTTTTTCTCTCCTTTGCAGTTTTCATCTGTAGTTTCATGGTTGCGGCGCCTATCTTTGGTTATCTCGGTGACCGTTTCAACAGAAAGATCATTCTCAGCTGTGGGATCTTCTTTTGGTCAGCTGTTACTTTTTCAAGTTCCTTCATCACTGGACAGGTAAGATCTTTGCAAAGGCACTTCGCAGGATGTCCTGAAAAGATGGACAATACGTTCCTAAAAACTCCCCGCTTCCCATCACATTGTGCTCAAGGGGAACGTATCCCTCTGGTGTGTATTTGACATAGAGCATGTTGCATTATCTGACGTTTTGTGGGTGAAGTGTGGTCTGTGTAACTGTGTTTTCTTAACTGTGAAAGCTGCTATTCTTTGATCATCCATGTTCATAAAAAAATAACAGGTGAAGCATATCTAAGCAAGAGTTTCTGTTGACATAAGGGTTTTGTTTTGAGGGAGAACCTAAAGAAACTTTAAAAGGCTTTAAAAATTACTTGGAAAAAAAAAAAATATCCATGGCTATGTAGTGGTTCTCTTGTCTTCTGATATGTAACAGAAACCACTGGAGTTGTTGGGAAGTCTGCTCATGGTATGTGGAAAGACAAAATGCATCCAGTAGTGGTTTTACACATGCGCTTTGTCTCCTGTCCAACAAAGGCAGTGAAGGTGGATGATAGCATAGAGATTAGACATAGTTTCAGCTCCTTTAATGCCAGCTGATGGATATGTCTGGGGAACTGATGATGGAGTCATAAGGCTCACTTAATTTTGTCAAGCTATGCACAGCATCCCTCACCTGCTTTCAGGACAGCCACAGTACCCCATTTTGAGGACTCCTCATTGCATTAATTTTCTTGCCTGTCAGAGACACTTGGAGGAAACAATGATCTGGCAGTTTCTGGGGAAAAATATGCTCTTGTTTAAATGATATTATAGAGGAGGTTTAATTAGCTGCAGGTGGCAACATTCCTGGAGAGACAAATCACAGCTCCTGGCATCATCAGACTGATTTCCCTGAGGGAGGTAGGGGCATTGCTCATTCTTTCTGTCCAGCTGCGTTCCAGAGATTGCAGCATTGTGGTCATGCCTAAAGAATGACAACCAGAAACTAAACCTCTCTGCACTGCTCTCTCCTGCCCACACACATGCTCTGAAGTTTCTAATAAAAGAGAATTTCCACCTAAAGTGGGCAGTGGCAGTGACATGTCTGTCTGGCTTTCATGTTGGATTGATTGTCGCTGTATTTCTAAAGAAAAATGCATATGGCCAAATATAGAAGCCTTTAACTCAGTAAAGTGTTCTGGTTTATAATTGGCCAGGAAGCATCCTTTCCAGAGAAAGAACATTTCCCATCTAAAATGAAGGAGGATGTTTTGGTTTTCTTTTTGTTTTGTTGGGTTTTTTTAATTTATCTTCATAACATTCTGCAAAAGCAACTGTGATCAGAGCCCAGAGAGGGAAGCATTTTATGAAGGAACCAATTACCTGCTTAGAAACACTTCTCATGTTATGAACACTCATTCATGCTCATATTCTCATCTCTCTGCAATAGACCGAGTCCCGTAGTTGCAAGTAGTGGAACACTGGAACTGGACTGATGTAATCTGTGTTTTCAGAGTTGATTTTCAGTTGAAGGATTTGGGGCTTATTAGCTGAAGTAGTTCATGGATTAATATATATGGTCATCAGTATACAGGAGCTCAGTGTGGAAGTGGCATATTTTTAGCCAAAGAAAGGGAGAATAATGTTTAAAAGCTGGAATATGTTTGGAATCCAAACCCCAATGTTTTGGAAGTCACAAGAGAGCCAAGACCAAAATAGCCTGACCTGTGTTAATTCCTCCTGGATTTGCATTAGTACTAACTCTGGACTCAAACTACAACCTTGGACACAATTCCTAAATACTGAGAAAAATCCCCTGTCCTGATTTTACTGCGATCCTCAACTCTACCAGAAGACTTATCTATTAAGCCAGAGGTCTCATGCCCAGCTCTTGTTATCTGCTCTGGGAGATTATGGAAAATTTTGCAGCTGCTGTATGGATGTGCTCAACCCAGTGGCTGCAGCAGTTGAGCAAGGTTATAAGAATAATCCCAAATTCACATAGTATCCCTACCACTTTGGTATCCTTTTTGGAGGCCTGATCTCTAATTGGGAAGACATGCCACATTGAACAAGGTGAATTCCTGAAGTACTAATGAGAAAAAGGGCCAGAAAAGAGCTGATGCAGCTTTTTTTTCTTTATGCAGTGACTAACTAGGCATTTTTCCTGAGCTTTGTCTTCTAGGATTCATTTGAGGAACAAAACACTGGCTCTTCTCTCAACATTTTTTCTTTCTTTTAAGACAGTATATGTGTTTGTCAGGAAGTAAGGCTAGGAGCTGAAATATAAGAAACTCTTTGCTGGCACACATAATAGCAGTAGTAAGACTACTGTAAGTAGATAAGTACTCACATCCAAGTCATCGTGAAAACACAGGGCTAGAAGGAGCAAGGTGGCACAGGCTAGGCTCATTGAGATACTGTACAGAAAACTCCTTTACGTGGCAACAGCAAAAATACTGAACTAGGCGAGATACAATAGCCATTCAGTAGAAATAGCAAACTCTGTCTTCAGGGATTGCCTTTCTTCAAATTTTGACAGTGTCTAGTGCCCTGTGCATGCTATCACTGTGTAATTAAATAGAGTACACATCCGCAGAGTTCAAATTTGGAGTGTAAATAGAAAGAGACAGCTTAACAAAGGCAGAAAGCAGCTACAGAGCTGGTGGACTCTGAAGGCACCCAATTTGTAAAGGTTTTTGGCAGTGTGTTGTTAATATTAGTTCCTGGCTAAAATTTGGGCACTTAAAGTAAAACAATCAAAATGCTATCATTTGAGTGAATATCTAGATTATCTGTAATTTATTGTGCAAACAAGCATACAGAAAAGAACACATTAATTCTTATCTGTCATGTTATTCAATAAAGAAATACCCATGTGGCAAGAAAAAGACATGGAGTGAGAAACTACCGCAGAGAGATGGATTTTTATCTGGAAAAAAGGATTGGAGCACAGTGAAACAGTTCATCTAAGATACTATCTAAATGCTATTTCATGCTGTTTGGGTTAAAAAGATAGTGATGGGAAATTGGCAGATAAAACAGGGAATTGGATATATTTGCCGCGCAGACACGTAGTTGCTAGAGAGCACTGCATTAAGGTTTGTAACCACTTATTAAAATATCCTTAGTTATTTATTACCACATATCTTTGGGCTTTTAACATGGAATAATGACCATCAAATAAATGAAGAATGAATCTCTCATGTGCTAGTAGCTACTAAATAATAGGCTCTCACAGGAAAAAAAGAAAATCAGACCAAAATTTAAGGATAGTTCTGGAGTATATAGGGGGTGATAGTTACAGAAAACAACAATGCATGAACTCCATGCATAGCAAAATAGCAACAGGAAAAATAGATACATAAATGCTTGGTTACTGTTCATGAGGTCTTAAATTACATTTAGAACAAATCAAAAGAAGAAACCCAAATAAATACATAACAGAGACTAATTCCATAAACACACCTGGTTTCATGGATAAAAATAGCTAATGATAAATTTAGCTAAAGAAAATAATCAGAAGTAATGAGACTGGGATAATATTGAAAAGGTCACTTCTTATTCTGTCAAATAATGTGATTTGACAATTTATATTAGTGCAGAATTTCTCTATAGAAAAAGAAGAAATGAGTCCTCCTGCACTTCATCTCTGGTACTTGCACATTTCTCCTCTATAACACTGTTTAGCACTTTCTAAAATAAAAGTTGTATAAAGAAATGATTAACAAACTTGTTCATTAATCTAAAATTAAAGTTGGTACATATTTAGACATAGCTCTAGATTAACTCCATGTATAGAAACTTCAGTAAAGTATGTATATGTCTTAATTCGTATTTTTTAAGTATGAACACCTGCTTAGAAATTGCCTCCCTTTATGCATGCCTTTTAATCAGTTCTGCACCTGTGGGTACACAAATTTTGGTACTTTCACCTGCAAACCCTTTCTTGTGTTGTTTTGGCTTTTGGCAAGCATTTGGAGAAAACACTTTCTGGTGGTTGGTTCATGCTCTGTAGTAAATCAGCAAAAAGTAAGTGAGCTGCTGTGCAGTATAGGGTCATATCACAGAGAAATGCATTGAGCGCACAGACTTCATGGAGTTTCGTTACCAAGATGCATTCCTGTCCAGACAAAAAGCTAAATATGTGTCTGTCTTCTTCTGTATCAATATAAACTCTGATTTAATAAGTAACCATTTTTTTCTCTGGATAGCATTTTGATGAGCATAGTGCCTGATTGCCTGTGTTGTAGCTGATCATCTTGAGCTTGTTTGTATTCCAGGATGTCATTGGAAAGAGTCTGTAGTCCCAGTTGCACCATTTCTCTCTTTCTGAACAGTTTCACATGAAGCAACTTGCTTATCAGGAGTGATCAGGCCACGTGCTGAGAGTTTGTTTCTGGCTGCTTGGATATCCACAGCTATTAGTCATAATAATAGTTGTTACAGCTGACTGCTTTGGCCAGAAGTTTGTTGTAGATGAAACCTTGCTTTTGGTGCTAACCTTCCTATCCCTTTTAGCACAAACTTCTGAGAAATCAGGATCCCTTTCCCTCATGGGCAGACACCAGTTTCTTAAAGCAAGAAAGAGCTTGGAGGTGGAAAGTTGCAGACTGTTCTCCAGTCTTGTGACATACTGCTATTTCCTATGTAAATATCTTGAATAAAGCATATTCTGTGTAAAAGGGATGCTGTTTTACAGATGAGCAAAGTATTCTGCTAAGTAGTTTGGCTCCAGTAGGCTGGGAGACCAAGTGTACCTAATAATCAACCAGACCAGGCTGTGGTAATGTGGGTTTGCTGGGAGACATCAGAGCTGCAGATGGTAGAAAGTTTTGAAATGGAAAAGCAAAGAATTAACAAGGTAAACCAGGAACATGCTTTTGAATCCTCCAGTTCTTGGTAAATATTCCTGTTTAAATGTTGATATAGCTAACATGATAAAATCTTTTTGCTCCTACTGCAAGTTAATCTCGATAGGTATTTCTACTAGTGTTTTTTTTCTTTTCCTCTCATTTTGATTTATCTCTGAGGGAGGAAGCAAATAGTCTGCTGTGGAA